GCTCCAGCTCCATTTTAAAGTGGCTCTTTTTATGGGAGTGGGGGGGCACGCGCAGATTTTATCTAGCAGCCTTGAACGATTCTGATTTTATGGTGTAGAGAGAAATCTAGGAAAACCAAATTTCTGGATTAGTCTAAAGTAAATATGTTGATTTACTTTTTTCATGTTCTAAAGAAAAGCCCTGCCAGTACTGAGGCTTAGAGAGGAGTGAGTTTCCCTTAGGGTAATCCTCTTCCTGGCTGCTCTTCCACGTGCTGCCTGCAGCCACCAGGGGGAGCAGGAAGCAAACCTGCCTTTCATTCCTCTCTCTGTACTTTAGCTCTGTATTCATCAATGCACAAGAGCTCGCCAATGCAAATGTTTCCAGACTATCGTCATAATAAACTAATGCCCTCTGTAGCAAATTTAGAAATGTGGAATAAAATAAGTCATCCATAACCGCACCACCCAGAGGTAGCCACTTTTAATAGTTCGATGTATTTCATAGCTTATATTTTTATGTTTGTGTATATATTTGTACACACACTTGGGATTGTACTAGGTATAGAGTTGGAGCCTAGTTTTAATTTAACAATGGATTTAAGATCTCTCCATGTTGTTTACAGTTCTTTTTAATGTCAGTATTTAAAAATTATTATATGATATTCCACATAGTGTTCCATTTTAAATGCTGTGCCATAGCTTAACCCTTCCAACTTTTCATTGGGGAATTCAGGGTAGGATTTTATTTATGTGGCTAATACATGGTTTTAAGGCAATTCAAAAATCTCTTACAAACACAAGTAAGATAATGTGACTAGAGATGTTTTTCTTCCATCCAGGTGTTGGAGGGTTTGTATGCATCCCACCCTATTTTACCTTGGGGTAGAATCAGAATGAGTTTTTTAAAATTAACTTTAGATAATTTTTCTTCCTTATTCCTTTGATCTACCAAATAGTGACCATAAAAAGATGGTATATTGGTACAAAATTTAGAAAATGATTCAAGATTATTTTTAAAATACTCTATTTTCCTATTTAAGACATCTTACTTCTCTTTGATCTTGTTTTTGGTGTTTACAATCAATTTCACAATGTCTATTTTCGGGGAGATTTTAGAGCTTGTCCATGCTCAGGTCATTTTTTTCATGGCCACATGGAACAACGAGAAGGACCCCTGTTGCATACTTTTACTCTATGAATTTATATGCCTTGAATTCTTGTGTATTGACCTGCACACTAGGCATTTTACTTTAAGTTCATGTGTGCATGGATTATAAAATAAATAGCAAAACTATTCTCTGAAAGTTGAGAAGAAGCCACATCTTGATGAAAAGTTAATCTTGCTGAAACCAGAATTCTAGATGATTTCCAAGGCCCCGTCTAGACAAACTCTTCACAATAAATGGTGGATAACGGCAACACGCATGGAAAGCTTTTAAAAATGTGCTTTCTCTCTGACTCAGCAATGCCATGAATTGGAATTCATCTAGGGACTAACACAGTACAAGGGCTTTATAGCAGCCCTGGAACAAAGTGTCTACCAGTAAGATTTTGGATTATGGCACATCCATACACTGGAATGTTACGTAGTCATTTAAAACGACAGATAATTAACATTTGACATGAAAAGACATCCACAAATATGTCAGGTGAAAAAACAGGTCTCCAAAATTGTATGTAGAGCATGATCTGCTTACCCACATATACGTGTGTGCATATATGCAGAGAGAAGGTCTGGAAGGCTATATACCAAATGTTAGGAATGGTCAGGCTAAGCAGAATTGTAAATGATCATAGGTTTCTATTTCATGATTACTTCCAATGGGCACATACTTCTATAATTAAATTTAAGAAAAAACTCTCCCTGTTTGTAACCTCCTCTTTTCATTCTTCCCTTTTCTCCTACCCTAAACACAATCTCTGGTTTTCATGGCCCTTTCTTTTCAGAAGCCTTCTCTCCTCTAGGTTATTTTGTCCAATTTTCTGGGCCCCAGACCCTAGTACCACAACTCTACATTTTTGATTCCTAGCCTGGCAGATAACCTGTTAGGCACTTTAATTTGTTTTCTCAGTTAAACCTCAGAACATCCCCGTGGATTAGGTCATTGTCTTCCCTATTTTGGTTGGGTGAGTCATCTTTTTTTTTTTTTTTTTTTTTAAGAAGGACATTAAATAGCTGTGGCTGTCCTAATGCTGAATTGAGAGAAGCAGCAATAATATCAATGTGACATTTCAAAGTAAAATGCTAAATAGACTGTGCTCACAACTCTGAGCTGATTATAGGAATTTAGAAAATTCAGTCTGTTTCTTAACTTCATTCAATATATTTCATGAAGCATGTTATCTGTAAAAGACTAATGTGCTGTTTGTGGCAACAAAGAATGCAGTGTTTTAGCAGAAGCGATCATGTAATAATCACACATTTATATAGCACTTTAAAATTCAGCAATTATTTTTTGCAGTTTGAGATTTCACAAAGACTTTTAACCTATTCATACTTTTGTTTCTTTATCACAAAAAAAAATGGGGCAACTAAAAGAAACCAAGACTTTTTGGAGAAGTGGCTGATACCAGAGCTAGAGCAGGGAAAGAAGGTGAGCCTGCAGTGGGAAGTGCTCAGGGAATGATGGGAACACATCAGAAGGTCATGGGAACCTGCTTAGTGCAGCTCCCACTAAGCAAACCAGGGACTATTTCGGCATCAAAATAAATAATAATAGTAAAGGACTTACAGCCTCTTAAGTAAGGTAAGAACCTATGTGTCCATACTAGTATAAACGAATGAATGAATAAGTTGAGAAGGAGGGAAGGCTTCTCTTTATATTAGAAAACCAACTGAAAAAAAGCAGAAGGAATGATGGAATTTGAAAAATCACCACTCGCCACCCATCCTAATAACCAGCTCAGGTAAAAATCTTTAATGGATGTTAAAGATTTCCCAGGGTATTCAAGTTTGAGGAGTAACTACATATTTATGTAGGCTCATCCCCACAAAATACTTTTTCATTACAGAAGGCAAAACAGTAACTCTGCAATGGAGAAACCCAGCAGACTCCACCTTAACCAAAGGAACAGAGTCGATATTGCCAGTGAGGGGACCAGTGGACAGCAGATGCCTTCTGACAGGTCACACTGACAGGAACTCAGCATCAGCCTGTGCTGTTCCTGCCAAACTTGCCTTACCCAAATCTAATCTTGAGGAAGCATCAGATAAGCCCAAAATGGGGAACAAAATAACTGGATAGAGACTAGAGAAACATGACAACTGCATGCAACACAGGATCTTGGGGTTTCTTTTGCTATAAAGATCCTGTTGGAACGATAGAGAATATCTCAAGGTCTGTAGATTAGACATGGTATTGTTTCAGGGTTAATTTTCTGACTGTGATACTGACGCTGTGGTTATGTAAGAGACTTCCTTCTTGTTAGGAAATGCACACTGACGTGTTTAGAGAAAAGCGAGGGTGAAGAGGGGGGTGCAGGGGACAGAAGAAGGAAGGAAGAGTTTCCCTGGAAGGGGTGCTGTTGCCACAAGGCTTACACCACAGAGTCCGCCCCTCTCAGCCCAGACTCCTGAAGGAAGGGAGGCGGGTGCTTCCCCAGTAAGCGTCAGCAGCTCTGGGCTGAAGAAAGGCCCAGCTGAGAGGATTAGAGGAAGGAGACATGCGCACAGCCTCTACCAGGAAGGGAGTAACACTCTGCAAGGGGGAGAAGCCACATGACCCCCAACCTGCAGGGTTTCTTACCTACACGATGAGGGGCCTGGACTAGACTGTCTCTTCAGCCCTTTCCACTGCTTCGTGAAAATTTATCTCCCTCAGAAACTCATCAGTGACAGACTCTCTGTCAGCCCGTCAAAAACTCTTTCTCGGACGTGGTCTCAGAGTGTAGCAGTTAGCACGTCTGTTTTACACGCAGAAGGTTTTGGGTTCGTGGTCTCTGGTCTATGGCCATGCCACCCTGAACAAGCCCGATGTCTGATCTTGGAAGCTAAGAAGGGTCTGGCCTGGTTAGTACTTGGATGGGAGACCACCTAGGAAGATCAGGTGCTGTAGGCATAAATAATAATAAATTAAAAAACAAAACAAAACAGAAAACCCTCTTCCTCAAGAAGGAGGCTATAGCTCCAGCCTCTGAGAGATTGATTTTTAGAGCTCCTTCCTGGGTGTAGGGACCTTCTGTAGATCATATGTTTAGACTTAAAATACTGCCTTGTAAAATACAGCCCCTACCCATCCCCAGGGGCTGTGCTCCGGGCCAATGCCAAGACCTGAACTAAGCAACAGGACTGAACCCTTAATAAAAGATTTTCAGTGGATCAAAAAAAAAAAAAAAAAGTAAGTTCTCAGTAAAAACACAGGGGTCTGATTTGGTGGTTTGCGCTTTCTTTCCTGCAGTGTGTAAATGGGTGTCCTACCATGTCCCAGGCCTGTGCTAGGCATTGGGGGGGGATCAGTTAAAAGTCACAGTGCCTTCTATCGAGCAGCGTGGCTGCACATTATGGCACTTGCGAGACAATTTTTGTAAAGTCACTTTTCCTTGTGACTAGAAAATGGTAGGTAAAAAGAACCAGAAACCCTAGCTTTGCTCCCAATTAGTTGTATGAACTTTTATAAGCCAAATAACCTCTGTGAGCTTCAGTCTCCTCACCTGTTAAATGGGGATAACGAGCTCACTCTGCTGTGTGCTGCCTGCCTCGCAGAGCTGTGGCCCTTCAGCCAGAGAATCCTAGACAGTGCTTTACAAACATGAAATAGTCTTGTTGTTAGTTCCTCAACATGCATATATGAAAGTGCTTTGAAAACGGGGGGGTCTCAAACACAGAGAATGACAGTGTTGTCTACCTTCTACTGAGCTTCAAAAGGAGAGTGTTGTGAGGGCACAGTAGTGAAGAACAGCAGACTCAAGCTGTGGCCACAGAGAAAGGCCACAGAGAAAGACCAAGTTTTTCTGGTGCCAGCACGTGGCTCAGAGCCTGGTCCTTGGCGACAGAATTGACCGTGGCCTTGTCCTTCCAGTGCACCAGGTGGCGGAGCGGGTGGAGGCTCTGGGGCAGTTTGTCATGAAGACCAGGAGGACCCTCAAAGGCCACGGGAACAAAGTACTCTGCATGGACTGGTGTAAAGATAAAAGGAGGATCGTGAGCTCATCTCAGGTACGTGGCACCTGTTGTGTGATTGTGAGCAGGTTTCCGATCGTATAGCTAAGGGAGATAAGAGCTGCCTTTAAAAAAAAAACAAAAAAAACCCTTTGTGATCTTTCTGACTCTTCTTATTCTCCAAAAGACGTGAGTTTAGCATGGTTCAGAATTCTCTTTTATACTGCAGAACTTCACGAATTTGGAAAGATTTACAATTGGTAATACCTGAAACATTGTAAACTCTATTCGACAAACCATTCAAAATTATTTCTTCCTGAGCATATTTGATAGCCTTATTTGTGAGTAAAACCATTTTTAAAATAGTGGGGATTTTTTTTTTTCCAAATTTAGGGCATTAGTGGTTGAGATTCCACCATGGTTTCTTTCAGTTTAAAAGTTCAGCAACCTAAAAGCAACAAATGAACAGAACAAACAAACAGAGATTCATGGACATGGGCTATAGACTAGTGGTTACCAGAGGATAGGGGGTGGAAAAGGAGGGGGGAGATAGACGGGGTTAAAGGGGTCAAATATAGAGGAGGAGGGGGAGGGTGAAGTGGGTAAAGGGGATCAAATATATGGTAGCTGAAGGAAACTAGACTTTGGGTGGTAACCACACAATAGAATATACAGATATCAAATTATAATGTACACCTGAAAATTACATAATTGTATTAACCAATGTTACTCCAATATACTTAATTTAAAAAAAAAAGATCAGCAACTTTTATGCCCTAAATAAAACAAATTTAAGATATATATTTTGTAAAGTATAATTTTTCATTTAATTTTATATAGTTGACATCAGCAACTTTTATGCTCTAAATAAAACAAATTTAAGATTGTGAAGTATAATTTTTTGAAGTATAATTTTTCATTTAATTTTATATAGTTGACATAGTTTATTTTACATCTTATATATTATCTATTGCTGCACAACATATCCCAAATTTTAGCAACTTAAAACAACAGATATTTATTATCTTATGTGGTATCTGGGAATCAGGAACCCAGAGCAGCTTAGCTGGGTGGTTCTGGCTCAGGATCCCTTGTGAGGGTGCAGTCAAGATGTTGGTCGGGGCAGCAGTCATCCAACAGCTTGACTAAGGCAGAAACTCATTTCCAGAATGGCTCACTCACAAAGCTATTGGCTGTAGGTCTTAGTTCTGAGCCATGTAGACCTTCCCATACGGTTGCTCATGACGTGGTAGCCGGCCTCCTCCAGAGCAAGTGATCAAAGAGAGGGAGATGGAGGCAGAAGATCTGTGGCCAGATCTTCTATGACCTGACCACAGAAGTGACATTCCATCGCTTTTGCTGTATTCCATTGGTCATGTAGACCAACCCAGATATAATGATGGAGGAGCCTAAACGAGGGTATGAGTATCAGGAAGCTGGCTACCACTACTTAGTACTTTTTATATTTATTTTATGTTACATGCATTGAGCATAAAACTTTATGCTAAAGCCGTATATTTTTATGGCCAGTTAGGCTTCCCCCAACCCCTGCCTTCAGCCCAGTTTTTTCAAAGGACAGTTTGGGATTTTTTTTTATAACCATTTCAAGTATAAAAACTGTACACATTCTAAATAGTCCACAAGTTCTAACATCTATGTCAGTGCTGGGTTTGATAGGACAGGGTTATTAATCTCCTATTTACCTACAAATCTAGTATGTTATATTGTACTTGCTTTTTTCATATTCATAAAAAGTTTATCGTTTTTGTATTTTACCACATTAAATAAACACTGGAAAGGGGAACACAAATGGTTTTTACTCTCACCACCCTGTCACAACCATTATTCTCATTTTAGAGCATTTCTTCCTAGACTTTTTTTTTCATATGCTCATTTTTACAAAGTGGTTATTGAGATGTACATGTTGCTACCTAGCCTTTTAGACTTTTTAAATCCATAATATATGTTGGGTTTTCTTTCACTCATGTAATACTCTGATCAGGGAGGGAGGGAGGCAAGGAGAGCTGACACACTCCATCCACCTCTGCTGCAGAGAGAGGACAAGCGGGGTGGGATGTGGGAGGAAGCTGGAAAGAGCAGGAAGGTTCTGGAACAGACTTTGAGTGACTCAGAGCAGCCCTTCTCCTTCAAAAGGCAGGAGATTAATCAGCCTGACTGTGTGGGTTTGGGTTGGGGTGGAGGTGCAGTCTCTCCAGGAACGTAGGCCCCTGGTGTATAAATCTGAGCTCATGTCGATTTATCTCTGGCCCGTTTGTATTACAAATAGATGACATTGTAGTCACTCCCCACAGCCCCAGTGTGGGCTGCAGCAGTGATTACAGTGAAAGTGGACTTGTTGACAACAACCGAACGGTTTATTCTTTTCCCTCCAGGATGGGAAGGTGATCGTGTGGGATTCCTTCACAACTAACAAGGTGAGGTGGTGTCCCCAGTGCATCGAGGCCCCAGAACCGCAGCCTAGTTTAAATGTGCTCTGGGCCAGCTCCCCAGCCCGGTCCTCATTCCCTGCCTCTCAGAGTCCCTCTCTGGGCATGGAAACCCCACAGAAGCCCATTCGTGTTTGGACAGCTCAGCAGCCCACTGTGGAGTTCATTTCTCTCTCAAGCCAAAACCACTCACCCAGAGAAGGACATGCAGAGCCACCACAGAGGGTGCAAATACTAAAACAGGAGAGAGCATGGCCCAGAAAACTGGTCACATTCACACATGCAACTGCCTTTATTATTATTATTCTGAGTGATGATAAGATGTATCGTTTTCCCCAGCTTTCTCTCCCCTCTCTGTCTATGACCAGGCTCCATAGCATTGTGGATGTCAGTCAGTGGTGGATGGGGAAGCTGAGGCTGCAATAAGTTGAACTGCATGACCTGGGGAATGCAGTGGAATCTAAACCTCTTGCAACTCTGGCCTGACCATGCACGGCTCCATATAGACCTAAATTTAGGTCTCAACTAAGACCAAAAAACTGAAATCTATGTGTAGGTATGCTTGCATGCCTACATTGTGTTGGCATTTACAATAATGAGAAGTGTGTATTAAATGTGGATTCCAATATTTACTTAGAAAGTCTTCCTCTTTACTATATTGAAAAGGAGACCTATATCTGTCTCAAATTGAACAGTGTCCATATTCTGCATTACTGAATGTGGTTAGTAAATGTCGTGTTAGGTAGCTGTTACATGACCTGATCAAGTGGGGCCCCAGCACCATCTTGTAGAGTAAGTTCCTACTAATGGTCAGGCCCCTGAGGAAAAATAAAAATGACAACAGGGCTTTCTTATACAGCACCTACCGCCATGGAAGACTCTGCCTCTCCCAGAACTCCTCAGCATTCAGGAGTATGTGGGGTTTTATTGTTTCTGTTCATGCCTTAATGTGGCACAAAATACTTTTGGATTTATGGAGTGCCGTGGCGTTGCCACTTGTCGCCCTTGGCAGGGAACATAGCCATTATTTGTAAGGAAAGGGACATGGGGTGCCCTATGCTGAGAGTGGCCACCTCAACTCATTCACTGGAGGGCAATAAATTATTCTTAGATTCTGAAAGGCTGCAGGACTGTGCGTGACAACAAAATTGTGGCACAGAGAATCATGACAGGGAGACTAGCACTTGACTGTTCTGTATAAATCATCTAATCCCATCACCTCCCTTCACAGATGGTGAATGAGACCAAGGCAGCACAAATGGCTGGCTTGCATGGGGTCGTACAACTCATAAGTGTTGAAACCAGGACCAGGGCCCACGGTTCAGTAACTCAGAAGTGAATCATGGCTTTGTTGTTGCTTAGCTGCATGTGGGAGGATGTGGGTGACTCAAACACCATTCCAAGGGGACTAGGAACTGTCACACCTAGTTCTTAATGCTTCCATTTTACAGATTCCCATTTATCCCTGAGCACAACTAAAGATCGCTCTCCCACCCCCATTCAAAACCAAGAATGGTTTTAGGATCTGTAGGAGACAGAGGCTCTTTTATACTCACAAGTAAACAAACTTATACATGTAAAAAGTCATTCAAGAACATACTCTGCAAATAGATAGGGAGAATCAGTAAAGAAGGTGAAGTATATATTGGCAATGAAATTCAGATGGACCTTCCAAAGAAAAGGAGCCCGAATATTCATTCAGGACAAGGAGAGTATAACATTAAGAAAGAAGTAAAACATTAAGGATATTTTATTGCTAGTTGAGATTTTTCACTTTTGGAACATGAAGTTTGGTTGATAATAGGGGGCTGAGTCTCCTTGTCAGTCTCAAGCTAATTGTTATCCCACTCCACTGCCCTGTGAAACTATAATGCAATTCTGTAGGAACACCAGTGATTTTTTAAAAAAAAAATCAGATGTTAAGACATTTGTGTAGAAGCGGCCCTTGTTTGTTCTATGAATGGTGCATACTGTGTTTCAGGAGCACGCAGTCACTATGCCTTGCACGTGGGTGATGGCATGTGCATATGCCCCGTCGGGATGCGCCATCGCGTGTGGGTAAGTAGGGCCTGCAGCAGCTTTTCAGATTTCCTGTGAGCCATAAAATACTGTTGTATGGGCAAAAACACGCGAACTAACACGAACTTATAATATTTGTTGTTTGCTTGTTAAACAGTGTGTTAAATTCCTCCCTAAACTTTATCAAAGAAGAAAAACACAAAAATCTCTTTCATAATTATTTTCATTACAGACTGACAGTAGTATAAGTTTTAAACCTATCCACTCCACTCTCAAATGCCGTTTACTGGGGACTACAAATTGGTGCAGATATTTTGGAAAGCATGTTGCTAATGTGTATCAGAAGCCTTGAAAAAGTTATAACTTTTGATCTAATGATTTTACATCTAAGAACTCGTTTGAAAGTAATGATCAACAATATAGAAAAAATATGAATAATAACATTTATTGTAGTATTATTTAAAAGAAAGCCAAAAAAGGAAAACGGTGTGTCCATCAAAGGAAATTAAGTGGCTTGTGGTATATGAATTGAGTGGAATTCTATACAGCCATTTAAAAGAAAATTCTTAATTACAGTAAGTGAAAAAGAACATCCAGGTTACTAGGAAGATTGTGCCTTATTCTCTGTTCTTCTGGAGCACTGTTTAACAGTTGGCATGCGAACTGCAACCAACATGATTAACTGTCCCTGTGTTAAACAACTCTGGGACTGTTCAAATTATTTCTACTGTAGAATCTCAGCTCTGTTTAGAAAAGAGACATTAGTATAAAGGCTGTAAAGAACTATACTGAAAATGCAATAGTAGTTCTTTCTGGATAATGGGACTGTGGGTATTTTCTCTTCCTTTATAATTTTCTTAACTTTTAATTTTTAAAAATAAGCATATATCATTTTTATAATTAGGAAAAAAAAGTTTTATTCCAAATTTTGCTTGGATCTCCAAGCAAAAACTTTGGTACCTTCTCCATCCAGAGTCATACCATCCGTCACCCCCAATGTCCCTCTCTTTGGGCGGCTGCTTTGGGGTCATCTTTTTACTCTCTCTTCCACTTGCCAAGACCCAGTGTGTCTTTGGAACCCATGCTCACATACATGTGTTTCATATTTTTCAATTTTTTAAATAACTCAAAAATAGGTTGTTTCTCCATTTTATAACTAGAAGCGATATTTATATAAAATTCATCCCTACTTCCTGAAAGGATATGAGGTGACCACAATAAAAGCTGCACATATACACATAAGTACATATGTATGAATATGTATATATTTCGTAAATGCCACATATGTAACACATTTATATGTAGATACCACAACTGTAGGTGCAGAGGAGTTCGGCCAGCTGTACGATCAGAAAGCCTAGCCCCCAAAAGACTTTCCTCCCTTCAGATACCAATTGTAAATTCAGGGGTCCCCACAACAACCATCAGGCTCAATAATTTATTAGAATGACTCACAGAACTCAGTGAAGTGCTGTATTTAGTCTCATGGTTTTATCACAGTGAAAATGTACAGTGCAAACCAGCCAAAGAAAGAGATGCACAAGGCAGAGTCCAGGAGGGGCTGGTATTACCTCCTCCCAGCTACCACGTGTGACTCTGTGCACAGAGTTCTGCCAGCCGGGGCTGCTCTCTCGAGCCTTTGGTGTCCAGAGTTTTTCTAAGGGCTTGATCACATGTTGTACACACGGCTGACTTACACTCTCCGGGCTTTTCTGGAGGTTCAGGCTAATACCTTTACTTTCTAGTTTCTCCACAGGTCAGAACTGATAGGGTGTGTCCCAAAGTCCCCATCACACATCACTCTGTTAGGCTGTTGGGTAGCCAGAGCCCCAGACAGACAAAGACACTCCCATCAGGCAGGACATCCCAGGGAGCCTGAGATCACCTTCCAACAGCTGGGGCCAAAGGCTCATTAGGTAAGGTTAGTTCTTCACTACTCAGTAGGCAGCTGGGGCCAAAGGCTAGACCTCTCATTAGGTAAGGTTAGTTCTTCACTACTCAGTAGAAATGATAAGTACTCTACATTAAAAAAAAACAACAAACTTTGAACTTCATAGCTTTGGTTTTCATAACAACCTGTGAGGCTGTTATCTAGGATATTATCTAGGATAATATGTTTCTAACTGGGAATTAATTTTAGCAAATGCATAGAGTTGGGTGGGTTACATAATTTCTCAATATTTGATATTGAGGTATCAGCTGTCTGGTTCTAAACAACAAAAAGAATATATTGGATAGATCCTTCCACAGTATACAATGAATATAATAACGTAAGAACAATGTCTTCAGCATTAGTTTAGAAAATGATGCTATAGGCTATTTTTTATTTTCACCCTCACTATATGGAACCTAGTAGAAGAATGTCTGTGAGAGCAGAGGGGTAGTTAGGGGAGAGAACAGTTTTACAAGGCCCAGGTAGATAACTTTCTGGTTACAACCTGACACACAGAGAGTTCAGAGTAGAGGGATGGCCGGTGCCTTAATCTTAGTCCTCTCTGGTTCCCTGGACCCTGGCATATGGTGGCAGCCTCACAGGTTGTTATGAAAACCAAAGCTATGAAGTTCAAAGTGTGAATATTTTTGAAAGCATTTTTTAAAATATGGGGTTCAGTGGATGAAGAGAGAGCATCACAAACCAAACTGAGAAACACTGGATCCTCATCTTACATAAAAGCACCATCTCCCTTTCCTACTCAGACCCTCCCTTAAAATTGCTAAGAGCAACTGTGATTAATTTGAGTTTCTAGTGATAATCTAAAATAGTGTTTCTCAACCATGGCTTTGTGACATCTCCGTAACTCCATTATCACACAGACCCACACCTACGCCACATCCTCTTAATGTCCATAGATAATAATGGTGATATTTTTATCTCCATCTGCCTGACTCCTGGGTCTACCTCTGGGTCAAGTTGGTTCCAAACTTGAAAGCTAAAACTCCAACAGTATTGACACAATCCCTTCTCAAAACAAAAGTGTTAATTGATTATATGTGTGTGTAAATATTTTTTACTTCAGAGCCATATTCCCCAAGAAGCCTTCATTCAGGTGTTATACACTTCCTATGAGCAACTGTGTGCAAGGCACTGGACCAAGTAGCCTAAGGAAATTCAAAGTTGAATAAAACATAGTGCTTGCCTCCAAGCAAGAAGACTATAAAAATAACAATGACCACTTACTGAGCATATAACCTGTGTCAGAGGCTATTCTGAACTCTTTATGTAATCTTCACAACAGCCCCTTGTGATAGGTGGGTGGGATCCACTCATTTTACAGTTGAGCAAACTGAGGCTCAGAGGACCTAGAAAACAACCAAGATCACAAAATGAATTAGATACCAAAGCAGAGACTCAACACGAAATGCATCACACTGCAGAACTTCTCCACTTCTCATAGCAATGCAAATAACCCTAAGCGATGAGTATCCTGACAGAGCTACAGAAATTATTCTGAAGCTTCAACATGGGCAACCAAGCGTCAGGGAAGCCTCTGGTCCACAACGTGCTGGTTCTTTGCCACAGACAAGCACAAATCGTTCTCATCCACGTGAGAACAAGCTTGTCAAAGCTAATTACTGATAATAGATTACCCCAGTCTAAACCTGCAGCTCCAAGCAGTTAAAAAGGCAAAAGGGTCCCCAAAGGCCTCAGAAGAGGGTACCCCCTCCTAAATATCATTCCTCATTAAAAGGAAGCAGGGTTCCTTGGAGCAAGGTTGATTTTAGGTCTGGGGCAAGACAAGAATAAAGTGAGCCTAGGGTATTTTCTTGTTCTAGAAAGAAAGGAAATGTTCCAGAACCAATAGAATTATATCAGAGGGAAACAGGAGCTGTTTGATGGGCCCCCCACTGTCCAAATCTGGGACAATTTGAGCATCGCATGGAATAATGATAGTAATGGATCATAACACAGTTTAAGAGAAAAAGGAATCCATGGGTGTACCATGGCGAAATACTAGCGAAAGGGGGGTTCTTTACAGAAAAATATCATCTAATAAGTGCAGAGGGAATTATCAAATTAGAAGATCACCATTTTGTACTCCTCAAGTAGTATTTGATTAAGTCAGGCTTATGCTGAAGCCATTGTATGAAAGGTTGTTGGGAAACAGGATGTTTGCATGGTCTCAAAGTATCACACCACGGATTATTACTAATTACAAATGAATCGCCTTTACCATGGAGAGATCTGATGGTCCCCCCTTTAACCAAGTAAGCAAAGTTGGCATCACCAGCCTTGTCATAAGAGGCCTCCTGAAATGAAGCAATAAGAAAGAAGTACATAATGCCACCTTTATACTGTTGTGGCCGAAAACGTCATACTTGAAAAGTTTGTGTGGATGAGAAAGTATACACATATTCTATTGCCCTCTATCCACATCTGACACTTCTTTCTTTCCATACTAGTGGTTTGGATAATAAGTGTTCTGTGTATCCACTGACGTTTGACAAAAATGAAAACATGGCTGCCAAAAAGAAGTCTGTTGCCATGCACACCAACTACCTGTCAGCCTGCAGCTTCACCAACTCTGACATGCAGGTAAATAAGGGGCCTGCGTGATGGGTCGGCCTGCTGGAGAGCAGGGTAAGTGGGAGAGAACTCAAGTGGTTGCAAGGAGGGGAAGCTTTTCCAGTGTCCCTGTTAACAGGAAGGTGTGCTCCAGTGGTTGGCTCAAGAGGAAGTTCCTTTTGTTCCTCATTGGTTGTTATTATTTTTTAAAATAAAATCAGAAATGAGGAAAATCAGGGCTCTTGGTTTTGATAGAGTTGAGATAAACTACATACCACTGAGGATCCTCCTGCAGTTGATTTGGTGGGGGTGGGAGTGAATCAGGGAACTTTCTGGGGTGGTAGGAATTCCTGACTCCCGGTCTGAGAGATGGTCCCAAGGTACTTACATGTGTAAAACTTCACTGAGCTGCTGAGCTTCAGAGTTCTGCAGTTTACTCACCTCACTGAACCTACTTTGCACTTCCGCGTTAACAAATGCAAAAAGAAAAAGCTTCAGATAGTAAATCTGTGCCCTACTTTGAATAAACCACAAAGTGAAAACAATACAACTTTAACACTTTGACTATGTTTTTTATTTATTAACATCTATTCTGCAACCCTTTCTAGGTGTCCACTACCTACATTGCCAGATACTACCTGGCTCTGGGGCTGGAAGCAGTCTCAGTCTCTGTCCTTAGGGACCTTCAATGAAACCAGTTGTGGCTGAACCTCGAGCTCAGAGCAGGAGGGGTGGTCACAAACTTACTGCAAAGGTTTGCCTGGGCCAGCCTTAGAGGGCTGGGGTATTGCCAGTGAGGGGAGCACGGTAGGAGGCAGGCAGCCTGAGACATGGGCAGGGCCAGATCTCAGACTCCCTGAATGCCTGGGCTGGCCCCGTGGATGGAGGGGAGCCACTGCAGGGGCTGCGCTGGATCAGATTTGGGTCTCTTTTAAGGAGGAGAGTATCTAAGTCAGATTAAAGCCCTCCATAGCCCACTCTGGCTTCAGCTGACTAATGTCAGAATGTGAGGGAAGGCTGGTGGCAGGGAGACCAGGTGACTGAATAATTGTTTAATTGCTGACAAGGTGGGTGTTCAGGCTTGGAGTGCAGTGTTTACACCTGTTGTTTGTGACTAGGAGCCTTGCAGACCCTTTTAGTAGGGGGCACTGAACCAATGCCCCTTGAGCCTGAGGAGCCCCCCAAAGCAACAGATGATGCTTAGTCTGGATGAAGGAAAGCTCAGACGGATGCAAGAATGGTGGGTTGTCAGGCATCTGAAGTGTCTGGTGCAAACCCATCACCCTCACTCTGTATGGATGTGGGGATTAAAGGAGGCACCTGTGAAGTAGAAAGTGCTTTCTTCCTGACGAGCAGCGAGCTAGAGATGGAAGTAATGGAGGAAAGTCCTACTGGCTACACTGGCTACCTCTGCAGGGTACATCGTGGCTCAGACTCAGAAGGCTGGGATCAAATCTTTGCTCCACTGTGTTCTAGCTGGTCCGTCCTAAGCAAGGCTTCATTCTCTGTGTTTTATTTTTCTCACCTGCAAGTGAGGATGGTAATAAATTCCTCCCTCATAAGGTTTTCTGAGGATTAAATGAGATGATTTGTGTAAAATACTTAGTATAGTCCCTGGTAAATATCAATGTGTTAGCTCTTACTGTTTTATTATTAATATTAACACAAAGCTTCACAGGTGATTCAGATGCATGGCCTGGTTTGGGTACCAAATTAATAAACCTTAAACTTCCTTCCCTCTCTGGAATCTAGGATGAAAAAAGAAAAACTCAAGTGGCTGGTATAAGACTATGGTAGTAAACCTGCAAATGCTTTACATTCCAGAATAAATGAGTGACAGTAAATGAAAGTTCTGTTTAGTTCATTTATCATAATGTTTGGTTTTTTAAATTTATTTATACACCTATTATAACAAAGATCACAAAAATATTTTTAAAAATTTAACTTCTAAAAACTGTTCATTGCTTTGATTGCAAAGTATAGTATGGAAAATTCTCAAATTAAAGAGCTAAACTATGGTAATCATTTAAAGCAGATTGTTTAGACCTGATGTCTCAAAAAAGATTGGAGATTATTGACCCTTTGCAAGTGTTAGGACAGGAATTGGGTGGAGCATCCACTAGTGGGCATGGGCCTGGAAGGATTGGAGGAAATTGTATCATATTACAAAATACAAGCACCCAAATTAAGACACGGTCCAAGTCTTGTGTGTTCATAAGCTACTTTTACCAGTCTTGCTCATCTTGTCGGATGTACACTTGAGGGAAGTTGAGGCTGGAAGGAGTCCCATGGACAGCTGCAGGGGCTTTGCAGCCTTAGAAATTCCCCAAATTTGAGAGCTACCCCAGAGTGGGGGCTTCGAGGAGGGCCTTGGGGGTCGTGTCTAAGAAGCCTGAGTGCTACAGAATTCACCCAGCTCTTGCATCAGAGGAAAGCTCCATAGTGACCTCTCCTGCCTATGAAGGGATCCTAGGCTTCCTGCAGGCTCAAAGCCAGAGTGGAAGCAGATTCCCGCTCCTCGAAATGAGTTCTGTCCCTGCAGAACAAAGGAGATTCTTCATAAGCGCTAGGCCTAGCATGCAAGAGAGAAGGGGAGAGAACAGGGAGGAGGGAGAGAGAGTCTATCTGTAGCCCTATAATTTCAAAGCCCAAACCCAAAGTGGAACCCCCAAAAGAGGATCAGAAAAAACAGCAGAATGGACCAGTGGATGGAGGAGAGCCCAGGCCCTCAGGCTGCTGAGCAGGGTACAGACACAGCTGTGCCTTCAGATTCAGACAAGAAGCTTCCTGAAATGAACATTGATTGATTCCAACAATTGTTTATATTAAAACAGACTATTATTAAAAAAAAAAAAAATCTTATCACCTGGGAGCAGCCAGAAGGTGGGGCTAGGGAGGCTCTGCTATCCGGGGCTTAACCCCCACTGTCCCTCCATGGCTTCTCAGGACCAAGCTGGCTCCGGGATGTTGCAGTGCAGTCAGACGGGTATATGAGCCCATGAGCCCTGGATCCCACTGCCTTTCTCCCAACTCCATGAAGTTATGCTCAGCCAGAGCCCAAGCCTCACACAAAATGGCAGTAACAAAAATTAAAACCCTAGCTCTGCCCCCATACCTTTTTCCAGGCGCCCCAGTGTTTCTTTCCCCATATGGGCCAGGCTTTGAACTTGTAAGCTATACAGAGGCTGCTGAGGGATAGCTACACTGACCTGACAGATTCTCAGAAAATATACCCTTGATCGTATCATTCTGCTTGGAAGCTTTCCGTGGCTTCTTGCCCACAGGCTAAAGTCCTCACTCTACACAGGCACACCTTTCATTCAGTGCAGAGGTAGGCCTCACCTGCAGTGAGCTCCCTCTAGTCCCCTCCCCTTCACCTGGCCAGCTCTCACTCATCCTCCAAGACCAGCTCAGATGTTTCCTGAGCAGGTGCCCCTTCTAGCGGCCTATCTGTATCTCAGTCACTTCTCACATTCTGTTCTAAGTTATCACTGTCTTATCTAATGGAATGACCAGAAAAGCTTGTCTTACAGTGATGCTAAGTTTCTTAGGCCTCCCACAGCAAGGGAGAATCCAACTTGGCAGAATCTCTACAGTATCTCAAAATGGAGAAATCAGGAAAGGGTATTTGGAGGGTTTCAGGGTCCAAGTTGGGTGGGATTTTAAGGTGGGTCTTTCGAGGCAGGAAACTGGTTGATGACATAACAGCTTTGGATTGGTGAGCCTTATGAAGTAAGGGTCATGAAGTGAGTCTTGATGAGCAAGCTATTAGTCTTGTTAAGGAGTTTCGTTGGTTCACAGTCTTATTTTGCAGGAGCAGGTGTTCCCTGTAGTAAGCGGCTAGGTTATTTTTACTTTGTCTCAGCATCGTTTAGCATAGCACCAGGGAAGTATGTCCTGTTCTGACAGCGATTAACACGAGGACAGGGAATTAGGTTGGTTTCAGTTCTAAGAGGCAATCCTTTGAAACTGAGCTCCACGAGAGTAGAGACTAGGACCCAATCTTTCTGCAAACCCTAATGCCTAGCAGAGCACCTGGATGTGGGCAGCACACAGCCATTGTTTGTTGGCCCTGTGTGCGCATGAATGTCAGGGCCTCTCAGTGGCCCTGGGGAGCCTCTGGGGCTCCCTGCTCTGGGAAGATGCAGCAATAGGATAATGTGTCTAACAAAATGCTACCTCAACCCTTGCTGCTCCAGGTGGGATCCAGTGACCAGCATCAGCATCACCTGAGAGTCTGTAAGAACTACAGCATCTCAGACCCCACCCCAGACTGTATTAGCAAGCAGCCTGGCGACTGGGGTGCCCATTAATGTTTGAGAAGCACTTTATGTGTCTGGCCTGCAGAACAGTGGGTGCGTGGCTGCTTGTGGGAGCTATTCGTGGTTCTGTTTAGCAACGTTCCCAGAGCACTTCCTACATGCCTGGCAGGCATACAGCCCTGCGGGTACAGCAGGGAGGTGTCCCGGATTTCAGACTCTGGAGGAGAGTAGGCACAGAAGCACAGCTTAGGGACAGTGCAGGTGTCAAAAATGGACTTTTTCTTTCTCAGTACTAGAAAAACACTTCTGCACCGGAATCCAGATTTAGCAGGGTGTGTGTCTTGCTTGTTTAAGGGGCTTCTTTTCCCTGTAGAACTTTAAGCATCTCATGGTCTTTCACCTGACAGAAGAAATAACGACAACAGTGCTCTTCCTGTTCTTTTCTGTGGGCAGATCCTGACGGCGAGCGGTGATGGGACGTGTGCCCTGTGGGACGTGGAGAGTGGGCAGCTGCTGCAGAGTTTCCATGGGCACGGGGCCGACGTGCTCTGCTTGGACCTGGCCCCCTCAGAAACAGGAAACACCTTCGTGTCTGGGGTAAAGAACCAAGGAAGATCTCTAGGGGTCCTCTAGGGAGGCTTGTGGCGGCAGTTCTTGTCAATTCCTGGGTCTAGACTGAACACTTCTCTAGAAGGGGCCGCAGGAATTGTTCTCAGCTCCCCACTGCACCCTGAGTTTTCACAGCAGTGGTGGTCCTTGGTAGGCAGTTATAGTGCTGGGATGTGAAGGTTTCCCATTCTGCTACTGACATGTAGCTGTCTACAGAGGGATCAGGAATGTTCTCCTGGTATGAATGAATACTGCAACTCAGCCTATCTGTCACATTTGAAAATGTCATTCCTCAAATAAATAGCTGGAAGTTAGCATCTGAGAGAATAAGAGACAGCCACAAGGGCACCAGTCTAGTCAGATGGTACTGAGGCGAGGCAATGCTATGGTGTGATCAAGGCTTTGGGGGTGGTGGGATGCTCTCCCACTCCACTCCTGCCGGCCGTTAGGCCCCTTTTAATCCCAGAGCATTTGAAGGTTAGAGAGGTAGACAAGGCCACAGTGTCAGAGAGGAGCACCAGAATAAGAGGATAACCAGGTTCCAGCTTTGCTAGTGACTCTAAATCTCATCATCTTTAAATTAAGCATAAGACACAATAATATTTGTACAACCCACTTCCCTAGGATATTTTGAGCAGTAGGTAGAAGAGTTTACAATGTGTTAGGCACATGGGAGGGACAAGCATTTCTGTAGACAGCTGGGAATAAGAATGGAGAACTGAGCTGGCCGACGTGACCCTGAGCCCTGTTTCACTTCAGTCAGGAGATAGTGGTGAGGAGGATGACAATTACACACCGTCGAATGACCTTTGCAGCTGGAAGACGTAAGAGCCCTTTGCTCCAATGTGCTCCCATCTTAGTTTTGGGCATTAGGCCAGGGCTCTATGGTTTCTAAATAGCAGGGAGCCCAATTTTCTTCCTGGATATTTGGCCATATGTGTATGTGTTTCATTCCTGGGCCTTTGTGTAACTGTATTTATCTCTCCTCAAATACACTGTTTACTCAAATTGTCGATATCATTGTGACTTATATTGTCTCTTTCAGAGCACTAAACTCCATCCGATTTAGTGTCCTCTAAAGATTAGAAGACACTCCTGATTCTTTTGTCTACGTTCTGAGTAAAGATACTCAGAGTGCTGAACCCCACAGCAGGTCTTTCTGAGATATGGTACCTCTTCCCACCCTTTCCTCTGAGTTGAAACCAACAACTTGGACACCAATTTTAAGCCATTACTTTTTCTGTTTGACCATTGAGAGTCTATATATACTACCCAAGCTTGACAACAGGACTGCTCTATAGGAATCTGTTAAAATTCTCCTAGAATCATGATAATATAACGTGAGAGCCTCATGTTTGTGATTCTCTGGTCATGTCAGCAACCCCCAGAGAGTGCTCACTTCACAGGTGTTGAGGCAGAGGCCCAAGGAGATGACTTACCCAGGCACCAGCTAAGTGCTGGTAAGGCCACAACTGGGCTCCTAGTTTGCCGATTCCCAGTCATGCATGCTGCTGGGGTGGAGATGGCACAAAGGCACCTGGTGCTCCACCTGTTCTCAGGGCTTCCCAGACACCTGAGACAAAGCTGGGAAGTCCCACTGTACACCCACTGTATGCCTACCCTCCCCTCTGAGGCAGAGAAACAGAAGAGTGAGGAAGGAAAGGGAAAAATCAAAAGAAGGAAAATGTCCCTGGGGAAGATGAGAAGCAGGCTCTGGAGCTTTTGCACCCACCCAGAAAGGTGAGAAAAAAGAAAACATGCTATCGTGGGAAGTTGGGTCCTTCTCTTACCCTCAAGACCTAGTTCTAGCCTCCTGAGGGCTTATTAGTTGAGGAAAGTGGCTTTAGGTAAAGCTAGTCTCAGAAACGTATGTTGTCAGCCATTTACTGATGGCAAATAAATGGTCTCTGTTACATAACGGAAATCCATGCCTGTCTGTAGACAGTCCTTGCAATGGCCATAACTCTGGGTAACTTTGCATTTGTAGGGATGTGACAAGAAAGCCATGGTGTGGGACATGCGCTCCGGCCAGTGCGTGCAGGCCTTTGAAACACATGAATCTGACATCAACAGTGTCCGGTCAGTGAGTAGAATGTTCACGTTGCTTCTGCGTTCTCCACGCTCCCTGAGCTGGGGTAATACTTAGCCCACAGGAACCGCCTCCAGGCTCAGTTTACTTGGCTGAGAGAGGCCTTCCCCAGTGGGAATGTCTGATCTGTGGTGGGCCTGAACAGCACTTCAGATCTCTTGAGGAATTTTAATTTAATTATCAAGTCAGTGTTTCTTGTTCATTCATTCAACAAGTATTGAACACTTACTTATATGCTAGACATTATTCCAGGAACCAAGAATACAGTTGTTAACAAGATACTTTCCTGTGTATTCATGAAATACAGCTTTAAAATGTGCATTCTCTCACCCATGCTTTTCCTTCTACCTTGGACCCTCTTCCTCTACTGGCCATTATTCTGTCAGGTCTCAACTTAGGCTTCCCTCTCTCTAGGAAGCCTGATTACGGAGAAGAGAATGACTATAATAGAAATAATCATCATTTAGTGAATGTTTTTTATTTTGCACCATCCCACATCCTTTGTATATACTGTCTTATTTCATCTTTACAACAGGGAACGTGCATTATCATCCTCACTTTTCAGATGAGGAAAGTCACTTGCCAAGAGCATCCCATGTGGTAAATAGTCGGTGCAGTGATCTGCATGTGGCTCTGTGTACATAATTCCAGTGTCTGAGTTTAGAACCACTTTCTTATTCCTGAGCTCTGAGCCAAGTCTTGGGAATGAGGTATGTGACTGAGGAAAAACTACGGGTACGGGGACCTGCTCTGTATTCAGTGCCTGGTGCAGATACATATATTATCTCATTTACTCCTCATCAACACTCTGTAAGACAAGTGTCAGTGCCCCTGTTTACAGGGAGGAAAAACTAGAGACCAGTAGGTCTGCCAGACAAACCTCCCTTTCTGGTCTCTGTAGCGAGTGGTCCTTGTGTGCCAGAAGTGGAGATTCCGATTCCAAGGACCTAGCATGGGACAGCCTTCCCAGATGGCTCTGATGGGCACCCAGGATTGGGAATCACCACTCTAAATAAAGTGCTTTCTCCCCTAACTTCCTCTCTGCAGATACTACCCTAGTGGAGATGCCTTTGCCTCAGGATCAGATGACGCTACGGTATGTTTCTAAGTTACTGAGAGCTTGCCTATTTGAAAGAGATCTGTTGACCATTTCATTTCTTTTAAATAACTTTTTTTTCTTACCATCTGATTTCACTTATAAGTGGAATCTAAAAAGCAAAATAAATGAACAGACAAAACAAAAACAGACTCATAAATACAGAGAACAGATGGTTGCCAGATGGGAGGGGGTTGGGGAAGTAGGTGAAAAAGGTGAAGGTTAAGAAGTACAAATTGGCAGTTACAAAATAGTCACAGGGATGTACAGTACAATATAGAGGATATAATCAATAACACTGTAACAACTTAATGTATGGTGTCAGGTGGGTACTAGACTTACGGGGGGGATCACTTTGCAGGTTATATAAATGTCTAGCCACTATGCTGCACACTTGAAACTAATATAATATTGAATGTCAACTGTAAGAAAAATTAAAATTAATTAACTTTTTTCTAATTACAAAAGTAACATATATTCAATGAAGAAACTTGGGGAAAAATTAAATTACTTTAATTTCCCTATACCCAAGAAAATCAAAATTAGGTGAATTCCTTTCTCTCTTTTTTTTAAAAACTAAATGCTTTCTAATTTGCTTTTTTCACTTAGCAATAAATTGTGAACATTTTCCCATGCCAGTAGAATTTTTCTACATTGTATTTTCTTAGCGATTGAATAGTTTTTCATGTTACGGACATGCCATCATTTACTTAAGCAGTCTTCAATTTGGGGACATTTAGTTTTTTTTCAAGGTTTTCTTTTCTGTTAGAAACACTACTACAAGTAAATGTTTTGGAAACCTCTCATTATTTCCTTTGAATTAATTCTCAGACGTGAACTTACTGACTTAAAAACAGACCTTGTTTCAAGGCCTTTGATACTAATTGAAAAATCATGTTGACTGATTTTTCAAGAGAAAAAAATACCTTCTTGTGCCCTGAAAATATCAAATATCCTATTAAATAATGGGTTTCATTCTGATTTACTATTATGGAAGAAACTATAAAGCAATAGATTGAGAATTTTGATAATAAATATTTAATACTTCTGTAGGTCAAAAATATATAACAATATATAAGTGCTTACATTTTGGAAAAGATCCCTGCTACATATATAACAGATCAAGTTGAAATACTTTCGATATGAATGGCGTGGCATAATCAATAAGGCAAATACCCCAATTTTAAAAAGAGATAAAAGGCAGGCCGTTTATAAGGCAGTACATCCAAAATGGCAAGTAAACAACTGAAAATGTTTTCAAAGTTACCTCTAATCCAAGAAATACAAGTTGAAATGATCAGATGCTCATTTGCCAGAGAAAGGCACCATGGTGATTGTGTGGGGAAGGAAACTTAGACAAGGCTGAGTCAAGCCTCTCCTTCTAGAGGGCAGTTTTGTGATACGAATTAAGAGTAACAAATATTCATCCCATTTTAATACAGACATAAAATAGAAATAAGACTGAAGGAACTAGCCTAGGTATTAGTAACTACCACTAGGATTCAGGATGACTTCTCTTTCTTTCTTTATGCATTTCTGAGTTTTTTTTGTATTTTCTACAATGAAAATGTATCCTTTATCAGGAAAAAAGATGGGTTTCATTTTTGTTTTTGTACTGCCCAAAGAAACCTTCTATATTTGCTGTTTCTTTAAATCTCCACTGATCCTTTGAGATTAATAGGAATCAGGATTGAGAGAGAAAATTCTAGGAGAGAAAATGAAAGAGTATTTCCTTTATCCCTGAAAAAGTACACAAGCTACTGGCACCTGCTGGTAGCTCTGTGGTCATCGCTTCACCAACTGGAGCCAAAAGTAAGTGTGTCTTTGTCTGTTTACACCCCCAGTGTCGCCTCTATGACCTCCGGGCAGACAGGGAGGTCGCCATCTATTCCAAAGAAAGTATCATATTCGGAGCATCCAGCGTGGACTTCTCCCTCAGTGGTAAGATTTTATTTCAGAAACTCCCAGGACTGTAATACAAGACCTAAATGAAACCCAGCTCTCTATCAGGCAGCCCCTCAGTTAAACTTCCTGCAGGTTGATATGCTAAATGGTCTCCTTTTGTGCTCTCCTAATACTGTTCTTTAAGACATAACGGATCAACATTCTTACATGCAGTGCCTTTAAGAAATTCCTCCCCGCCTTCCATTCTGCCCTTCGTACTCAAAAAGGGACTTTTTTTTTTCAGAAGTGGATGGGATGAATCAAGAGTCTCTTTCTCAATGCTCTGAAGATCGTGGCACCTCTGCCTTTGGAGCTGGGGAGGCTGCTAGTGACCATTAAGGCAGCACTGATAATTCCTCAGCCCCACCCCACCCCCATTCTGCATCTGAGTCTTTGGGCATGCATGCTGCTACTGCTACCTGAAACATCTTTTCCTTCCCTCATCTGCATGGCAAACTCCTATTCAGCCCTCAAGAGCCAACTTAAATGTCACTTCCTCTGCAATGCCCTCCTTGATCTCCCTTACTTTACTCTATGATCACACAGCACAATACCTGAGAACTTCCATTATAGTCCTTACTACATGGTACTACAATGATTTATGTGTCTGCCTGCCCACCACCACCCTCCCCATCCACAGTGGGCAGCAGCTGTGCTTTCTCCTCTTTGAATCCCCAGGGCAAATCACAGTGCCTGGTACAGAATGGGAACTAAATCACTGTTTACTGGATGGATGGATGGATGGATGGATGGATGGATGGATGGATGGATGGATGGACGGACGGACGGATGGACAGATGGACGGACGGACGGACATACGAACGAACAAACAAATGGGTGGGCAAGTGAGTGAGAGTCACAAAAAGAGAAACAGGAAGGAATTGGTTTAATAACCATCATATCCTCCTGCTTTAAGGTCGACTGCTGTTTGCTGGCTACAACGATTATACCATCAATGTCTGGGATGTTCTCAAGGGGTCCCGCGTCTCCATCCTGTTTGGACATGAAAACCGTGTTAGTACTCTACGAGTTTCCCCTGATGGGACTGCTTTTTGCTCAGGATCATGGGATCATACCCTAAGAGTAAGAGAAATCTTTTTTTCTGCTTTACTCTGTGTGAGTGGAGGAGTGACTGGCCTTCCTGAAAGCAGAGGTCAGAGTAAGAAGGCAGAGGCCCAGACAGGCAAGTAGAGCTCTAATTTCATCTCCGCTCTTAGCCACAGAAGGAATGAGTAGCCTGGAGAGATAGTAGTCCCCCATCAATGCAAGTGTTCAAACATAGGTTAAATAACTATGTATCAGCATGTAGTTGAGGGAATAGTTGGGGTAGGTGACCTAAAAGTTTCCTTTTGACCTTAAAAGTCTGATTTTTCTGAGTTTAGCCTTTGAAAAACCAGCTTGGCAATCTCTCCTCCAAGGAGTACAAGGTTCTTCTGTGCTCACAGACCCCTGTGAAGACCACAGAAGGAAGCCCATTAAGCCCATGAAATAACATACCAAATTTCGTGTGTGTGCATTTTTCCAGGAAGAGTCATGGCTTTTATTAAATTCTCAAAGAGCTCCATGGCTTCATCAGATGTTGGCTCCCCAGAGATACCACGAAAATAACCTTTTCATAAAGCAAAGCTGACCTCAGTGTAGAAGATCACAAACTTGACAGTCTTAGTAGCATCTCAGAAGGGGAGAGCAAAGACAAATATTTATGAAGTTTTAGGGGTTTAAGTCAGGTCTTTTGATGGAAAGACTTAATTAGGATTGGATAAACATGTGACGTAATAGTTTAAGATTGCTGGGCATAGGCTGGGGGCAGAAGAGGATTTTGAAGATGGTCTTGAAAAGTACCAGTTATTTGATGCTCTGTAGTTTTCTGAGAAGTGAGTGTCTCTTTTAAAGAGGATACTTGAGTAGTCTAGTCTTAGGATAGGTAAATAGATACAAGTATTTTTGCACAGTTCCAGAAACAAACAATGAAATTATTTGTGACTTCATCTTCCTGGGCAAGAATTTTCTAAATTAGTAAAGTTGTGTTAATGTACCCAGTGAGCTGTGTGGGTAAAGATAGTTTTGGTTGTCAATCTAAGAATTACCAGTCCATAGTAAGGAAGGCACAGATGCCTTTCAGACAGTTACTTAAGAGAGAGAGGCAGTCTGGTCCAAGGAAGCACCTTTGAGTTGCTGAGGGTAAAGTGTTATTTTTCCAATACATGCAAGTGCTCTAGTTTGGATGGATGGAGGGAGGAAGGGAGGGAGGAAGGAAGGAAGGGAGGGAGAGAGAGAGACAGAGACAGAGACAGAGACAGAGACAGAGACAGAGAGACTGTGTGTATCTAAGAGACTTTGATTTTATCTCTTTAAACTCAGGTCTTACAAGTTATTAACTATTAAAGGGATAACAATTATCTGTTTGTGTCTTTGCAGGTCTGGGCTTAATTGCCTCCTCAAATTGCACACATAGGTATCTGAGGATAGAATTTGAAATCGTCATATGTAAATAGATCTTACTTCTAGAGGATCTGAGAGTTTACTGCACCTTAGCTTAAGGGAGCAACTCCATGGCTGAAAGTTTACCAAGCATCTTCAATATTACTGTTAAAACTGCCACCCATGGAAAAGTACCACTGTGAGCCTTCAGCGCTAGGAGAACATCTTCAAGTACAGTGTTTTTCATTTTGAACACTTTTTAAAATTTATTCGTTTTAAAGGTTATTGTCAATTATACTAGTCTTGACTCATTCTATTACCAACAGAATTCAGCATTTAATATAGTCCGTATTATTTCCTTGAATCAAATTTATTTTCAGAGCACTTTAAAATCTGATTTTTCAAGGTATGCGCTGAATAAGTATCCTCTAGAAGTGATTTTAGTGGACTGTATGAGAAAGACTGTGTTGATTGATATTCAATAGAAGAAAGTTCCAATTCTAGATGTAATTAGACAAAATCACTTTTTTAAAATGTATTTTTATTGTAAAAATATCTTTTTCAGTCCTGCATCATATTGTGGGTTTTTTTGTTTGTTTTTTCAGCTAAAACATGTGAACTGTTATAAAGGAAGCAGAGATATGCATAAAATGGACAGATTGTGTGTTTACAAATTTTGTGATGATGTGATATATCACTGTTATTACATGGACAGAACGTTTTCTTTTGAGGGAAAAGCTGAATGCTGTTCATGACACAGATGCTTCTCAGAGCAACCAAAACCTTTCTATGTGGAAACACAAGACAGTAAACTTATTTAAAAACCTATTACTGGTATTAGACATATTAGGGTTAATAGTATCAACTCAGCCTAATGTGGATCTTGTCCATGTCAATTATATTCATATTTATTGTGTTATGAATATAATTACATATACACATTATTTGCTAGGTCTCAAACAATAATATTTCTCTTATATTGAGAAAAAATAGCATAAAAGATATCTTGTCTTTATTTGATATCAGCAATTCCTTCAAGAAGATACTGAGGTCATTTGTTAAAGGATCCCTTCTTTTCCTTTTCTTTTTCTTTGTTTTTAAATGTGTAGAGGCTTATTTTTTGTTTTAGAAAATTCCTCATTCATAAAGATGGTATGCATTACTTAGGGAAATAAAATGTCACCTCGGACACCAAAAATTGTTCCTAGGTGAGGCTTGCCCTGTGGGTGGCCTGGGGTCTGACAGGCCAGGTCCTGTGGTGCCCGAGGGCTGTTTATAATGAATCCCCTGGATTGTCCCGTCTCTTCTCGCATCCCTGCTGTAGCCTGCCCTTCTCCCAGTGGTAGTTCTGGCTTTGCAGGTCCAGCCTCAGGTCCTGTTGCTCAGGCTCTTCCAGAGCTGGAACCCACACAGCCTTCAGACAGGCCTGGTAGACCTGGCTGGCACTCCTGTAAACCTCAGGGGGTGTACCAGGACCACCCTCAAAACTACTTGGTCAGGTATCATAATGGACCAGTCAGTCAAAAATCGGCCAAGACACATTTTCTGTCAATTCTTTTTAAATAAACAAAATGGTTATATTCAGCTATTTGCCAAGCAAACATTTACTGAAAGTTTTACTATACAGCAGGCCCTGGGGTAGAAAGAGAAATATAAAAGACCCTTGCTTGCCTCCAAAAAACCCAGAGGGAAGAAGGGAACATGGTCCAGAGAGACCATTTTTCAGTCACCTTCTTCCCCTTCCCCCAGTGGATTTGTCCGGGCAGGGGCTCGGGAAATATGCACAGCTCCTGGTCCACCCAACTCCTGCCAGCTGCTGAAGGGAACAGGCCCCACAGTGTGTCCCATGGAGTTCCCGAGCTCTGCTCCCAGAACATCCCAGAGTTTGCTCCTGGTCTCCTAGTTACAGCATCCTGTTCCCACTCTCTCACACACCCTTTCGTGTCTCTGCACTCTGACCTGGGCCTCCCAGAAGTGAAGGAAGACAGGGCAAAGAAAAAGTCACCTAGACTGAGGGGAAGGAAACTCAGGCTTACATGTTTGGAGAGGCAGAGAGCGTCTTCTATATATATCCAAAATAGCCCATAACTTTCCAATCAAATAAGTGACCATAAGGGTCATATGAAAATATTCCGTGGAACATTCTTACCCCCATGGGCAGTAAGCCACCTCCCCTCTAAGTATTTCATCTCACAGAGGGTGTTATTTCAATTCATTTATTAAATACTTGGTTGGGAATATACTACACCATGTAGAGACTCAAGGGTAAACTCCAAGTAATAAATTGTATTTTGCATATTGAAAATAATGCTGCGTGGCATTTTTCAATCAGTTTTCCTTTTTTTAGAGGACTTGAGGGCAAACGTACCAAACTGATTGTGGTGAAGGGGCCAAATAGATGTGTCCCCAGGTGTGCATAGCCTTGGACACCCCCTCCCCAGCTAGAGAAGAGAAGGGTTAGGCAGGAAGGGAGCCAGGTAAGGAGGTGGGCAGTGATGGGTATTTATGGGAAATACCTCCGCTTTGGGGAGGGCAACCTGCCTCTCAGAGGAGGGGCCTGGCTGCAGCCCTGTTCTGGAATGAGCCAGAGGCCAGAGGTAGGCACTCCATATCCACTTTACTCCTCCCGCTCCTAGACCTCCTCCACACCCTTCCCGAGATTTTAAGTGGCTTAATGGCAGTAGTGGTATAAAGGACTTTGTATCCTGGGTTCTCATAGTGTTTGGCTAGCTGGCACCACTGACATTAAGACTCATTTGTAAACTAGTGGGGGACAGCATGGTGAGAAAAGTTGTGTGCCTAGGTTCAGATCCAGCTCTACCACTTTTACAAAATATATGACAATATCCAAATTTCAGCCTCAGTTTCCTCATCTGTGAAATGACACAGCACTGAAGTATGTAAAGTACCTACCTCAGCCTTTGGCACGTCTTCAACAAGGGTTAGTCCCCTGCTGCTTTCTTCTGTCTGTCCACCCATCCTTCCTTCCCCTGCTCCCTTTCCTGTTCCCTTCTTCTCCCTTCTCGCTCCTCTCCCTTCTCTTTCTTTCTCCCCCTCTTCCTCTCATCCCCCTCCTCTCTCTTCTTGTCCCACCTCTTTCTTCCTCCTCCTTTTCTCCCCCTCCCCTCCCTTTTTCCCTACCCTTCCTCTTCCTTCCTCCCTCTCCTTTCCCTTGCTCTTTTTTTATTTCCTCCTCCTCCATAAGCAGTTCCCATCATGTATCAAATTAGTAATTACCATCAATTAGATCATCGGCCCAGTGGTTTTCAAAGTTTGGTCTCACTGTTTGTTCCTCTACATTCTTAAAAATTTTTTGAGGACCCCAAAAAGCTTTTCGTTTATGTACATTATATCAACATTATCGTATTAGAAATTAAAACAGAAAAATCGTAAAACATTAAGACTGCAGAAGCCCACATTCCGCTGGTGATATTTTCATCACACATCGTAAGCCTCTAGAAAGCTTCTGAGAGAATGAGAGTTAAATCTATTTCCCATCCCCGACAGTACTCGCTGGAGCCCTTGCAGCTGCAGTGTTTACTCTGAGATGACTTGCGGATTACAGTCCTGGCCTTACCCCCAAAGTTTGCCACGAAATATCTTGCTTTTATTATTACTTTCACATTGCTCTAGTATATCAATAGTCTTTGGAAACAAATGACATCTATTTATAGCATTCTGTTTTTAGTAGTTGTATTTCCATTTACAAAATATAGTAATTCTCAATCACCAAAAATATCAAATCCTGGATAACATAGCATTTCTATGCGTGATGTTAACATTCTCAAACAGTTGTTAGCCGAAGATTCGTTTGATGGATCCGATTTATTTGTACCTTTCTGTTATATTAGGATTAGAGACAAATAGTTTCGAAATAACTCCAAGAACAGTTTTTCTGTTTTATTTTCACATTGAAAACCAGTCAGATTTGCTTTAGCCTCAAAGAGCGCATTTATGTAAAATTAAGGCTGGCAGTGAGCTGTACTTTTTCTTTTTTTTTTTATCTAAAGGGGAAATGGGTTAAAAAGCCACACATACAAATAAAAGTCAGTATTGTCATGAGAATAGTTTTGACCTTGGAGGACTCTCTGAAAGGTCTCAGGGACCCTCAGGGTGGGGAACATACTTTGAAAACAGCAGATTTGGTTAATGAGCCTTTTTCAAAGACCTCTGTGCACGACCTCCCTGAGGCCATTAAGGTCACTGTGGGGAGGGAAAGACTAGAGTAATTGCAGGGGTGGGGAGTTGACAAGAAGCGGTCCTCAGGGGAGGATTCGTAGTGATCAAGGGTCACCTTGGAGGTTCTGGAGGAGCATTGAGAGGCAGTGGGAAAAGCTAGAGACCAACTGAAGGCTGTGAACTGCTGAAAATCTTTTCGAAGGAAGTTACCTGAGATCCTAGGGGTAAGGCCAGCTGTTAGGTTAGAAAATTCACTGGGATTGGGGCCACATTGCTGTCAGCTGGCTTCCTCTCAAACCCAGGAGAGCTGACTGAGCAGGGATTTGTAGATCTGCATTTTCCAGACTTGCCTGCTGAGTCAAGAGAAGGTTAAAAATACAGATCCATAAGAACCCCTACCCTGGAGCCCTTGACTGGGCAGGACTAAGTGGGCCAGGGATTCTGATGATGTACCCTGAGGAAAGCTCTTAGTGAATCTTCTTGTCTCTGTGGATCATTTGTGAGAATGTGAGGCTTAACCACTCTCCTTCTCTTCTATAATAGGAGATAATCAGGTCACTCTTCAAGATATTACAAACACCTCATTCTCTACACGGGACCTGGCTAGAGCTAGGCAGGTCTTCAGGACTGATCAATCTCCACAGCTGGCTGACTCACGGCCATTTGTGGTGATAGAAAATATGTTTGTGTCATTGTAAAAAGGACGCAGACCCTCTAGTGAGGAGATGGGATCAAGAATGATGCTCTGGATTATTTAATCACCTAAATAAATACGAACAACTAAATGTAAGTATGGTATGAGCATTTATGTGAAGACTATGACAACAGGAAATGCCTATCTTTGAACTTAAGGTTATCTAACCAACATACCACTGGCGAACACTTAATTTTGTCATAAACCAGGAACCATGAATCAAAGGTCACTGTTTACATATGGTCCCCAAAAACAGGCAGCCTCCCACTCCTAGGTCTATACCCAAAAGAAATGAAAATGTATGTCCACATGGAAACTTGAACACAGGTTCATAGCAGCCTAAAGTAGATCAACTCAAATGTTCAACAACTGATGAATGGATGGACAAAACATGGTATATCTGTATAATGGAATATTATTTGGCCATAAAAAGGAATGAAGTACTGATTCATGCTGCAACATAGATGAACCTCGAAAACATTATGCTGAGTGAAAGAAGCCAGACACAAAGGGCCACATATTGTATGCTTACATTTATATGAAATGTCCAGAATAGACAAATCCATAAAGAGAAAGCAGATTAGTGGTTACTTAGGGCTAGAGTTAGGACGAATGGGAAGTGACTGCTAATAGATTCAGAATTTCTTTTGAGGTAATGAAATTAGATAGTGATAATCGTCAAACAACTCTGTGAATATACTGAAAATCACTGAACTATATACTTTTATGTATGTGAATTATAATGAAGCTGGAAAAATATATGGTAATATATATTTTATATAAATCCAATATAAAAAAATAGTAGGTAGTCAGTGTCTAGCTATTTTCAGCATTTAATAACAAAACCAAAAACGAGAAACATACAGGTAAAGCTCACCAAAGTGTCACATTTTGATTTTTGGTTAAAAGTGGGACAAGTGAGCATGGTAACCTGAATAGTACATACTAATATTAAAAGCTTCAGTGAACAGAGCTTTTACTACGTGCCAGGCACTGTGCTGAGCACACTGTATACACCATTTCTTGTAATCCTGTAACAGCAATTTCTTACCTCCTTTATTAGGTGAGGAAATTGAGGCTAAAAGAGTTGAATAAGTTGCTCATGGTTGCACAGCTTCTAAGTGGCAGAGCCAGGATTTTAATAAAGTCTAATTGCAACTGCCTACTTGCATCGTTTGGATTGGAAATTCCATGTGGAGGCTAATTTATTCATTTGTTGTTTAGTTCAACTGATAATTATTGACAATTGCCAATGGGAGGGCCAGAGGATTTATCACTCACTCCCAAGCTACTCCAAAGCTAAGAAAAAACTGTGCCTGCTGCTAAAATATGATATTTAAAAAGGTAAAAGCATGACTTGTAAGTAAAACATAAACATATATCAAAATGTTTATTTAACTCAATTATCGAGGGCCCACATAGATGTCAACATCAGTTCAAATGGGAACTTGATGTACAGAGATTTATATTCCCTTAAAACAAAATTAATTTGGTTCACTATAAAGGATTCACTGACGCTGACAGATCAGGCACTCAGCAGTATCGTAGCTAGCTCAGCCTTTGTAGAGAAAATTCCGTTGTTGCCAGACCCTCTCTCCCTGTTGCCATGGCCTCTTTGTTCACCTCCCCATAGAGCAAGAAATGCAGTGGCTAGGTAAGGAGGCTGTCTGATATCCACATAGCACAGCATCTTGTCTACCTGATTATTAAAAGCCTCCTCTGCAGTGATTGCCCTTTGGGGGCATCTGCATGGGACACAAAAATCTTCAGTCTGTACCCATTCAGAGAAGTCCAGCCACATATTTCTTTCCAAGATTTACTTTTCACCAGGCTTCCAATCCTGTTCCTTTCAAGGCCCTGACCATCCACCCAAACCATCAACAACTGCCCATGAATCAATATAGATCTGTACTCTGACCATCTCTTACCCTAGATATAGTAGACAATTACATATCTGGCTTGAATATCTGCCCACCAGGAGGATTTTCCTTCACCACTGTCTTCACAGTAACCCCTAATAGGACTTTAATGCTATAGCTGCCCACTTTCATGTGGTGCCAGCATATCACATGGACCCATCTGTAATCCAGGTGTGTTTTTCTCCCTTTGCCACCTGGTCATAAGCAACCCCTAGAGGCCATAGGCGTGGAATGAAGGAGGAGGCTAAGCAAAAGGAGTTGATGTTGCGGGAGTTGGAGCCACCTGCTCATGCAATTTACTTGTACCTATGGACCTGCCTGAGTCCAGTCTCATATACCATTACCACTTGATGACAGATTGCTTCTGTGTGCATCCAACATTATAACTAGGTCAGACAACATCCATATCGTGAAGGCAGCTCAAGCTGCATGGTCACCTGATGTCTACCAAGGCCTATTAGCAAGCCAGACCCTGCTTCTCAAAAGAATAGTTATCTGCAGAAGAGGACATAGATTTGCTTCAAAACTCTAGAGGTCTTCACTGTAATTCTCTTATTGGTGCTTGCCAGAGGCTCCATTTGGCATCTCTATTTGACATTTCAAGTAATCATTGGGTCTGCTGGATCATAAGACCCAAATGGTAGAGCAGTTTGTACTGCAGCCTGAATCTTCTGCAGAGCCTTCTCTTTTTCTTCTCCTCAATCCACCAGCCTATACCTGAGTTGAAGTTGCACACTCAAAATCCAAAATGACCTACCACACATTGTGCTTCATTTTTCTTGTAGGTGATACAAGATGTAGCAACTCATCTTTCACCCTGAGCAAGATATTTCAGTATGCTCCAGACCACCAGACTCCCAGAAATTTCACTGCTGGTACCAATTCAGTATCAGCCTGCATCCCATTAGGAGAAAGAAGCCATAGAGTGATGTGATCAGAGAAAGATTACTATAAGAAATATTAACTATAACAGGGGGTTGGAGTAGTGAGGGATTGGCCAATAAAAAGTAAAGAGAATTCCAAGCAACATAGAAATAATAGCTTTAAGAAGTAGCCACTAACCTATAGCTGAACACCCCCTCAACTTCTCCTATTAATAGTGATAATTAAACTCTACTGTGATAGCCTGTTTCTTTGTCCCATTACTAAACTGTAGGTTCCTTGAAAGCAAGGACCACATATCTTGTTCAATATATCTCCAGTGCTAAGAGCCTAGCACCCTCAAAGGCTCTGAAGCAATATGAATGAATGAATGATTGCAGTCAATACTGGCACTCTAGCAGCCCAAAGGGGAATTATCTTGTTTCCTGATACATATACCAAAGAAAGGTAGCCTCCACACACACACACACACCTGGATGCTTCCATCCAATTGAAAATGTTGATCATCATCCTGACAAGGAAGCTGCCAGTGGAGGCCTGTGTGTAGCCTTTGTCAACCGCTTTTTAAGAGGCTGGGAAAGTCTAGACAAACTTCCCAGACTGTCCCCTCCAGGTTCTTAATCCTCAGGCCGAGAGCTAAACAATAACCCCAAGAGTCTCACATGAGCACGTGCAAACTGCTGGGCCTCGTTTTCGCGACCCACACAGGTAGGTGCAGGTGGGATGCCCATCAAAGGCTCCACCCGGGACCTACCTAGAAAGACTATTGCCCCGGCAGGACGGGACAGGGCGGGGCGGAGCCGGGTTGCCCCTCCTCGGGCGGTGGTGCGGCCTCGCCTAGAAAGCGGCCTGGGGCCGGTACCCCCAGCAGAGGCCGGGCCATGGCGGACGCGCTGCGGTTGCGCACCGCGTGTGTGCTGACCGACTACCTGGAGTACTGCGCCCGGGAGACAGGCAGCGCCCCGCGGCCGCCGTCCACTCCGGAGGCCGCCGTGCTGCGCTCCGTGGCCACCCACATACAGCAGCGTTACCAGCACGTCTGGTCCCACTACCGCGGATATCGGGGAAACCGCATCGAGCTGGTGACGCAGGTGGCGCACGAGATATCCCACGGCATCCGCGGCCCCACCTGGGGCCGCGTGGTGGCGCTTGTGACTTTGGCGGGGACGCTGCTGGAGAGACCGCCGCCGGGCCACATGTTGGCACTGAAGGAGTGGGAGGCGGACGTTGACCGCGACTGCCAGAGCCTGGTAGCCTTGCTGTGCGATTGGCTCACCGGGCAGCACCGTGCTTGGCTGGAGGCGCAAGGCGGCTGGGTGAGCGGGGCGGGGGACCCCCGAACGCGTCTACACGGCCCGCACCCGGAGGGCCCCAGTGTCGCCAACCCGGAGGGCGTTCGGTGTGAATTCTGGCTTTCTCTTCTCTTGACGGAGTCAGGATGGCAGAAACCGGCCTTTCTGCACGCCCTCCTGTTAACTCATTCTGAAGCAGCCGCGCGTGACGGGTTTGCACACTTTGGCCTGGTCCTTGCCCACCCTCCGGGTTTTAGGATGCGCCCACGTTAGATCTGGATGCTTTGCTTTGCTCATCTAGAGATCCCCAAGCTGGTAAAGTCAACAATGGGGTGGTCTGGGCCGAGTGGATTCTTTCCCCTCCGCCTATTAAACACACCTTAGGAGAGACTCACACTCATTGACCCCACAGCTCTGCAGGCTGGAGAGCACCAGCCTATGAAAAGCCACTCCCTTGTCCTGCCCCCACATCGGTTAGGAAGAGCTGAGGCCACAGGTGTTGGGGAGTGTGCACCGGCACCCAGCGGTGGTCTTGACTCAAGGGTCTTTTTAATCCACCGCACCCAGCCCTCAATTGGGAGATAGCAAGGCGCCCTGGCTTTCAGCTGTAGGTCATTGATTTCTGTGGGTTAGGCTAGAGGGGCAGTTCCTAAACTGAGCCAGTGGTCAAGGATAACCCCTCCACCCTTCAGTAAGAGTGTAGCTTGCCTCTTGGGTTCTGAGCTAGACTCCTGTTTCTTTCTTCTTTCTTACTGGAGTTGAATCAACTGCTGCAGTTGGCCTAGGTTATAGAATACAGACAAATTTAAAACCGGCCATTAAAAAATTCCAAGGAACTAGGGAAGATACTGAAGGAAACTTAGCCTGATGTTGGCAGTTTCCTGTTAGAGCTGTGGTGATGAATTGAATTCATTTGTGGAAGAGAGGTAGTATCAGAACCTTGGCCTTGTATGAACAGTTTAATGTGTTAGCATTAACTCCTGCATTCTTTGGTGTGTGTGTTGGTCTTCAACTATCCAGGCCCTTGAACTCCCCACCTGAGCTATTTGTCTTAAGGCATTTGGCCCCTAAGGGCCCTCTGCACTTAAAAAAGAGATTGATTGGGGAGTGGGAGGGTGGCACTGTTTCTGTTCTAATCTTTTAGCTAATCAACATTAGCTAAGGAATAATCTTTTAACATCAAGAAGCTCACTTTCTCCAATTGAGTCAACAAGACACGTCCACCACTCTCAGATGCAGTTAAAATGCTAGAGTCAGGACTTCAATTCACTTCCTCCATTTTTCTGAATGGAGCTGCTTGCTTTATTGTCTCAGGTGATAACTTTCAACTCAGTGATTTGATAATTTCCCAAATGGCATCTCTCCTTTGCTAAGGAAAGAACATGATCTATAGGCATAACTCGGAAATCTTGCAAGTTTAGTTCCAGACAACCGCGATAGAGTCGTAATCTTTTTTGCTGGTGGAGGGTCTTGCCTTCAGTTTGTTAAAACAAAAATAAAAAAAAAAAAATAAGGCAACACCTGTGAAGCGCAATAAAACGAGGTATGTATGTAATCTCCCTTCCTCTCAGCCTTTGAGAGGAGTCATGAGTTCCCACTCTAAGACAAAGTGTCCCTTATGTCCTTCTATCCTCCTTGTTGGCCTCCTTCCTCCAAATGCTAATTCATCAAAGTTTCCCAATTACAGGTTGCCTATTGGTTAATATTCCCTTTTTTTACTTTTTAAATCCATCTTGAACCCCCTGTGTATTTTATTGTCAGGTTTTGAGCATTCTGAAGCAATCTAATTCTTCTCCTTCTCCCTTATAGGATGGCTTTTGTCAATTCTTCACACCTGCACTGATATCTTGGAGAAGACTACTGGTCCAAGTTATTCTGTCATACTTTACAGCAACAATCTTAACCTATTTATGGACAAAATTATCGTGAGTTCCCAAATTTTTAACCCATTTCTACCTGCCTAACTGTGACCAGTCAAGTAAATCTGAGATGTGAAAGAACAGAACAAAGCACCTTCTGAAACATTTTCAACTGCATTCATGTAAGGGGGAGTCCTGTGGTGATGATTCAGCCAGTGTTTTAACTCCTGACAAGTACTCAAAGGCATTAGAACAAAGGCACTGAGTGGCTCCTCTCTGAGTGGGAGAAATGGGAGTCTAAAGGCTTATTGCTCCAAAGAATTGTAAAACAAACTGCATTTCATTAAAGGGGAAACATGGTGCTATTTGCTACATTTAGATAAATATGAATGAGTCTCTCATCTATCCACAATTTCACGTGCCACTTCTGACTAATTCATCATGGGTCCGATGAAATGATATAAAAAGTGCTCCAAATACCAGTTTAACAAAGAATGTAACATTAACACCTGGTTTTATAAACAATTCTTTCTAAATTCTTTGAAATGGAATTCCTGGGACTTCTACGTTTCTAGAGTTAATATTAAGAATTTATTTTTCAGACTTCAATAGTTAAATGTTTTCAAAGTTTTAATAAATTTACGCATCTTTAAAAAAAAAAAAAAACTCAGTTGGTTTTCCTTAGGATTCAATAAGCCTTTATTCTTAAGAGTAACGTGACAATTTCCTTGTCTCTTTAAATACAACATGCACAATTCTGTTTTTTATTTTTCCATTACAGTTGACATGCAGTATTAAATTTGGGTATACAACATAATGATTACACATTTATATAACTTATGAGATGATCACTCCGATAAGTGTAGTACCCATCTGACACCATACATAGTTATTACAGTGTTATTGACTATATTCCTTATGCTGTACTTTACTATTTTGTAACTACCAATTTGTACTTCTTAATCTCTCTCTTCCCCTTTTTCACCTTTCCCTCAGTCCCCCTCATCTGGCAACTATCAGTTTGTTCTCTGTATCTGAGTTTGTTTCTGTTTTGTTTGTTCATTTATTTTGTTTTTAGATTCCATGTATAAGTCAAATATGGTATTTGTCTTTCTCTGTTTGACTTATTTCACTTAGCATAATACCCCCTAGCTCTATGATTTTGTTGCAAATGGAAAGATTTCATTTTTTATGGCTGAGTAATATTCTGTTGTATATATGTACCACATCTTTATCCAGTCATCTGTTGATGGATACTTAGGTTGCTTCCATATCTTGGCTATTATAAATAATGCTGTAATGAGTATAGGGATGCATAAATGTTTTCAAATTGGTGCTTTAGCTTTCTTTGAATAAATACCCAGGAGTGGGATTGCTGGGTCATATAGTAGTTCTATTTTTAAGTTTGAGGAACCTCCATACTGTTTTCCATGGTGGTAGAGCTGGTTGTCATCCAAAAGGTGGCAAATTCTGGCATAACCAGAGCCTAAAATGATAAGGTTGGGCTTACTCAGTTTTTCTTATCTGCTCCCAAAAACTGATATAAATAATCAAATAGTAGCTTCTGACCATGCCCAGATGGACCAAGTGCTGTAAGAGGAGGAAGCCTATATTTTTAATTTAGTGAAGCAATATTTAAAAATAAGATATGATGTCCTCATACAGAAGTCTATTCTTAAGAGATGCTCTTGGTGATCTTGCATTACATTTCCTGAACAAAATGATTATGTTGGTTAAGGATATTGAAGAAGAAGACATTGAAGCCATTTGTAAGACAGTTGGAACTGTCAAAAACCAAACTGTGCAGACTGAATAAAATAGCAGAAAGATAAGTTTGTTGCAAGGCTTTCAATCTGCAAGCTGGGAAGCTCAAGGCTAAGGGAACAGTAAATTTCAAGTTGCTCACAGAATAAGGGATTTTTATGGGGTAAATGTGGAAATTGTTTGGCTTTTTAAGCTGATTGGTTGCCTAGCGGTCATCTTCCCTATTTGGATCAGGGAAGAAGAGTCAAGGGAACAAGGAAGTCTAAAGATGGCATGAACAAACTTGGCATCTGGGAGTCGGCTGGTATCCTCTGCTGATTTCTGAGAAGAGCTGTAAATCCCTGTTAAGCTTCCTTTATGAGACTGCATTGACCTCTATTTTGTCCCTGAAGTGAGTCCATATTAGCTTAGTTCTATAGAAACAAGCCAGTTGCTCATATTGACCAGTTTACTGCTGACGTGCTGGATTTGGCTGAGTTAGCTGAGGAGGTCAATTGAAATGTTTCTGGGCAAACTTCTCAAGATTACAGGCTGTGCAAGGCCTGGGAAAACAGTTAAAATTATTCATGGTTCTAATAAATTGGTGATTGAAGAAGCTGAGCGCTCAGTTCATGATGCACTATGTGTTATTCACTGTTTAGTGAAGCAGAGAGTTCTTATTGCAGGAGGTAGTGTTCCAGAAGTAGTTGGCCCTGGGTTAACTTAATATTCACTAACATTGAGTGGTATGGAATCCTACTGCATGCCTGCCTTTGCAGGTGTTATGGAGGTCATTCCGTCTACACTAGCTGAAACTGCAGGCCTGAATCTCATTTCTTCAGTAACAATACTAAGAAACTGGGATGCCCAAGGAGAAAAAACTGCAGGCACTAATGTCCAAAAGGGTGGTATTTCCAACATTTTGGGGGAACTGGTTGTCTAGCCTTTGTTGGTTTCAGTCAGTGAACTGACTCTAGCAACTAAAACTGTCCAGCGCATCAGCAAATTGATATAGCAAACGCTCAGTAACCTGGATAACACTGGCTGCCTGGCACCATCATGGACACAGATAGTGAGGCTGGAGTAGAAGACCTCCTTGGTGTTCTTTGTTGTCTGGAAGATCATTTCCTCTGAATTCCTGGGCTCAGTCTTCCATTTGGCATTTGCTTGAAGTGTATGGACACAATTTAGTGAAAACAGAAAGTATTTGGTTTCAGAAAAGTGTGGTGTCCCTCCAGGCCTTGCTGTTTTATAATTGTTTGTGTTTTATAAAACATCTGGATCTGCTTTTTTGACTTATCTCAGGTGCCCTTCAGAACATGTGGCTCTGCCTTACTGTTCTGTCGCAGTGCATTCTGCATATGGCAGGATAAATTGATTTTGCTGTGTATTTTAGGATGTTTTTCCTCTTACAGGCTATTGGAAACAGCCTTAGAATTCCTTTTGTGCATAGTTTTGCACATATGCATGGTTCTGTCTGTAGGAAGGAATCCTCGAGATTCTGAGTCACAGTTTTATGTGTATTAAAATTTGGCTGCTACCAAATTATTATTCAAAATAGATCCTGCCAATCCAAACTTAGCCCAGGGTAGGGAATGCTTAGCCCTTCACACTCTTGTCAGTGTTAAATTATCCTAAATTTTTGCCTTTATGGCTTTTGGGTCTTCTTTAGGAATGATATCCTTATCCCAAGATTATAAAGTATTCTACGTCCTCAGTCATTGATCCACTCAGAAATTATTTTAGTGTAGTTTAGTTTAGTGTAGTGTGCAGTAGGACTCACTTATTGAAAGAAAAGTTGGGGTAGATATTTCAGCATTGTTTGTAGATAGCCTATTTTTCCCCTACTGATTTGAATGTATTCTCTATTTCGTTGACTTCTTTCTCTCTACTAATAGCACTTGGCCTCAATTAGTACATGTTTATGGTATGTTTGAATAACTGGTATAAGTCTAATCTCCTCTCCCACCTTGTTCTTTTTTAAAAAGAAAATCTTTGGATGTTTTTGATATTGTTTAAAGTGAATTCTAAAAAGCACCTTATCAGGAATCCATTAAGACATTGCTTTATTATTTTGATTAGAATGGGGCTGGATTATAGAGCAATTTGGAAATAAGTAGTATCTTTACAATATTGTGTCTTCCCTTCTAAGAACATGAACTCCTGTTCTACTTATTTAGGTTTCTTGTGGTTTTCATCTTATAGATCCTATGTTCATGTCAAGTATTCCAACACTTTGGGTTCTGTTGCTATTGGGAATGGAATCTGGAGAGGATATTTTGCCCTCCCAGAAGCCATTTCCCCTGATATCTTTGTTCTTAGATCATGTGGTTCTGGTGGGGTTGACTCCTCTCCAGTTTATGCCGCCCCAAGATCCGGAACGTGACTCAGACCTGGCCTAACAGCTTATCATAAGTGAACAAGACTCAGTTCCAGGATTTCTGTGGACACTAGCTGATGAGCATCTTGCTCCACTGGGGTATCTCCACTGCCTGGAAGATAAGACCTCATAAAAGGACAGAGGTCAGAGATTTGGGGTGCGATGGAGTATGGAGAAATAGTTCTGGTGACATTGCTGAAATCTCAGAATTTGGCTGTGCCTAAAGCTACTTGAGACTCGAATTTCCTTTTCTGCTTAAACTGATGTTTGTTGCCAGTGAAACTCAATTCATTCCTGAGTCAGAATTTTTCCATTACATTTATTATTTGGTTATGACTGCCATAAGAAATTTAATGTAGATTCTAGATCAGACTATTTTTGAACTCATTAGTTCTAACTAATGTTTCTTTCCCAACATTTATATTTCACTTTCTTTTCCTTTGTTAATTGTATAGGTGGTGAATAATAGTGATAGTTATTTTCGATCTACTAGGAATTCCCTTGATTTCCAGTCTGTTGATGGCCTTTTCATTCAGCATTTTTTTTACTTTAGCATTTTAGGACAGTCATTTAGGAGTTGTAGAGCCATTGCTCAGACCACCGTTTAACCTAGGATCTCTAAGGATTAGACACACCTATGTTAATCCTATGTGCAAAAAAGGAAAAAAAGAGAAAAAATTCCTCCTGAAGGAGAGCAGCACTGGCAATGCTCCTTCTACAAACTAAGTATTCTGGGCTGGTAAGAGGAAGATGATTAGCATAATGTAGCACTGATTAATGTTACATTTCAAGGCACCGTTGGAGTGCTGGATTAAGCTACATTTTCTGGTGGTATTCTTACCCATCAACCTGTAAAGCATTGTGTCCCTCAGATTTTTGCCTAATAACCTATTTCTTTCCACTTGGACTGTTGTTAAGTTTTTCTTGCATTTTTTAGCTTCTAGCTGGGTACTTCCAAGTAAATGCCATTTGTTTCAAACTC